TGAGACGTCGCATATCTGTGGATAAACCGACGGTTAGATTTGTGTTGGAATGCAGAAACCAAGCCATTCTTCCATAACAAATGGACATGATGGTAATTGGAATGTACCACAATACCACTATAGTACCGTAACTAAAAACCATACGACCCACTGGCCATAGTGGGGTACCATTGTCCATCCAAGCATCAAACATATAGCAAATTCCATCACGGTAATTGGTAGTTGTAAAGAAAACCGAGTAACATGGCAATCCAACTAGCCAAGTCAATCCGAAAATAATTTTTATCTTCCCATCTGTGAATATGTATTTGTGCTTGAATGGATACATCACTGCAATGTATTTCTCTAGCGTCATGGCAACAAGGTTATAGGTTGAAATCAATACCAATGCCCAAACGAGATAATATGTCTGCAGCACGAAACAAACGAAACGCCCCGCTACTCCTTCTGGGACAGGGATGATACCATGAAGTAAATAAGTTATAATGATCACCAAGGAAGTTAATAAATCGATAAAAGATTGATGGATTATGAATTTGTTTGTTGTCTTTGAACAGAGATACTTAAGGCTGAGCATTACTATTAACACAGTGGCGTTCCCGATCGTTCCGATCGCACCAATTGCCACATACACAATTTCCATTGTACTGCTTGCTCCCATAACAGGACCCATAGCATCGTTGCTGATTAATTCAGTTTCGTTCCCTATGGTTAAGTTTGTGGTAGTATTGGAGACTTGCGGTCCTACGCTGACATTCATATTTAGCACTTGGTGATTCGCTTTGATATCAAGTATATCAGTTTATAATGAAACAGCGGTAGTTGTTGAACTCGCACTGTCACGTTTCAGTTTGTTGGGGCAGTAAGTATAATCTACAAGCATGAAATTAATAAAGATAATATAAAGAATATTATTTCTGTGACAATAATCATATTCTGTAAAAGTACAATTTCCTATTCTTGTTAATTTGAAATATGTAAATCTTTAAAGCCCCCATATGAAGTTTAAACCACTCTGGCTTGTATTGTAGTCTTACTCAATATTATCAAAGTGTGATATGTGAAACCTTTTTTTTTAATTTCAAAAAGTGTTTTTTTTATATTCGAAAAAATGTTAATTTATTTAAAACTAATTTTTTGAGGCCCCATGTATCCTTCACATCAATGCGTAGTATTCATCATCATGTGTTTTTTGCCGAAAAAGTAAGTTCAAAAGTAAGGTAAGCGAGAAATGAGCTCATCAATGCATGAAAACGGTTCATAGAAATGCATTTGAAAATTTTAGTTCTCATAGAAACCAATGGTATAATAATATTCAATATATTCTTATTTTTAACATGGTTAGATTATCAACAATTTCTGAAGTTTAGCAATTAAGAAAAAGGTAAATGAATGATAAAACATATTTTTAAACTTTACATGGGGACTTTAAAAGCCCTGTCAAACGTTAAAACCACTCACATTGTATCCTTACCAAATGTTACCAAAATGTATATGTAAAACATTTCCTTTGAGTTAAGAAGTACTCGATTGAAAAAGAAACATTACCACTCACATTGTACCCTTACCAAAGGTTACCAAAATGTATATGTAAACCATTTCCGTTGAGTTAAGAAGTGATCGTGGTTGAAAAAGAAACATTTGCTAAAAAGTGCAAAAAAATTTAGTTACGGATTATTGAGACCAATAGTGCAGAAATATATAACACATAAGAATTAATTCAAGTTAGACCGACAGCTTCGTTTGTTTCTGTGAGCTTGATTAGCGTATTTAAAAAAGATTAATAACAGAAAAAAATTCAATATATTTGCATCAAAAAGTGCCTTGAAATTAAACATATATGTCTACATGATGAAATAAATGGCTAACTAGTGTTACGCTTACCTCTACGGTGTTTAAACTGCTTCTTTATTCGGTACATTACACATTCAATACATACAAGTAAATAAAACAAGCAATTTACCAAACCTTTACCCAGTTTATCGAATGCTTTCGGTAAAATGTATAAACTAGTAGCCCGGACAGAATTGTTCAAAAATTGAGTAAAATTCTGACATACAAAAAAAATATTTAAGGAGCATCTTTTAATTTATCGATATAACCCCCCTATCACACCAAACTAGTTCTTACCCGTTCTTGCCAGTCCTACGAAAACGTCGTAAAACGGGCTCAATCTGGCTGTGATCGGGAAATATGTCTGAAATAATTAGCTTCTTCGTTCTTAAACAGTCTTCAATACGTCCATCTCGTTCGCAGATCGTTCAGGTCGCACCACGTCGGTGTGCAACGTAGTAGAACGCCTCCCTTAGTCTAGAAGGTCAACATGACCTGATTACAGAACGGCATGGTCGCCATCGAATTTTGAATGGATTCAAAATTCTAAAATCACATTCCCGTCTGAGAACGTTCATTAAGTTCGTAAATAGACCTTAGAAAGTTGCAGCTACGTTCATTCCGTTCGCACACAGTTTAAAACCAGTTTTGGAGAACGCAGTGGCAACTTGTTTGGTGTGATAGCTATATTTTTGCTAACTCGTTCATAAGCAGTGTTAAATACGTTCTTAATCAGTTTAAACCCGTTTGCAATTAGTTCTACCTCGTTCTAAACACGTCCTCAGACAGTTCAACTCGTTGTTAAAACGTCCATAGTAGGATTGAAGTACGACGGTTCCGTTCGTAGTACGTCCAGCTCGTCGTTAGTACGTTTTCACTCGTTCTAATTGTAGAACGTGACGACCACGAGGAGATTTTGAGCATTGTCTAAGTTCTAGAGGACCTACCCGTTCGAGTACGTTCGATGAAGTTTGTAAATAGATCCCAAACGGTTCTTAGTAGGTCCAGTCCGTTCGTACACAGTTGAAGCCCACTTTCGAGAACGTAGTGAGAACTAGTTTGGTGTGATAGTAGGGTTATAGGCGTTCATAGTATGACTGACACAAATACATACTTAATCTTTTTGCCTTATATGTGTTCAAAATGGCGGCATATTTTGTGAATTTGAATGTTCAGTTGAAAGTTAATATTTAAGAAATGTCATAGGCCTATTGAGTCGTGTAGACTGCTGCTTTGGTATGAGGTAATGACTGTATTTATAACCCTTTGTTTTAAATTGACTTGTATGTATACCAGTACTTAAAAAGGTTTGTACATTGTATGTGCACTATATTGGTAAGGTCGCAGGACTTAACGTTTTTTGGCCATTCCATTGTTACTCGTAGTGGATTAGCAACCCTAGTTCGTTTAACCTGTGCAACTATAGGGTCATACTGCCACAGTTTGTAATGTCTTTCCCAGTCACACGCCTCTTAACCCATCCTTGGCATGCATGTGGATTGTTCTTCAGCTTTTCAATGGCCTCTGAGATGGCTGTTTTGAGCTCTTGAAAAGATTGAGGACCTACTCTCATCACACTCCGCACATTGGGGCGCCACCTTTTTACATCCTCTTGAACACAACCCGGAACATTTCAAAAGAGTTGATTTCATATACCCTTGGAGGGAGTTGACTTTTTGTATTTGATGATTGGTCAGTTGCTGCATTACATCAGGATTGTAACGGTTGCAGCATGGCCCTATAGTCCTATGACAATCTTTAAATATTAACTTTCAACTGAACATTCAAATTCACAAAATATGCCGCCATTATGACCAAATATGAGGCAAAATGATGAATTATGTATTTGCGTCAGTTATACTATGAACGCCTATAATATCAATAAATTAAGAGATATTCCTTAAATATTTTTTTTGTATGTCAGAATTTTACTCCAGTTTTCAAATATGTGATCAGACTATGATAATACTGAAATATAAAAAAGTTATTAAAGAAAAAGTGACCATTGAACAATTCTATCCGGGCTACTATGTTATAGAAAAATAAATCATTTGGTAAGTATAGAAAAACTTATATCGACAGGGTTCAAATAGAAATTCGATATTGCGGATATAATGTGTTACTCTTAAGGAATACCATAACAATTTACGCAAGAAATATATCATTTATAGAATGGTGAATAAAATATGTAATTTAATGCACGTCATAGTATTTAAGAGATTTAATCCATTGGCTCTTTTGAAAACTTGATTTGATGTAACATACAAATGTTTTTACCGAATAGAAAATTGATTTAGCGAATATAAACATTCCATTTATCGAATATATTTGAATTTAATGAATAAAAAAGCAAATAAAATGCCGTATACCTTATCTGTCCTATTGTGTGGAGAATAATTGTTTTTACAGTGAGTGTGTGTTGCTAATTCTAAACTAAGACCATACCTTTTTAGAACAACTATTTTGAAAAATGTCTCAAAGTCTCGAATTAAAACAACATTGTAAAATCATGTTTGAAAACTTACTTGGTTCACATTTTTATCATTTATATCAAGTTTTACTCACCCGTCTCTGACAAATCAGTTGTGAAAGAAATAAGTTATCTGTGCCCTGGCTTAAATAGGAAATCGGGACGCCCCGAACGTCAATTATCTGTGAGATTTAACTATTATTAGAATGTCATATTTCCGCCTTATGTAACACTAAAAGCAAAATGTATATAAAATGTGATTCTTGTAACCTGTCAAGTATGTGCAATGTTCAAAATGCTTATATGTCATTATAAGTGAAATTAATTAGCATATGCGGTAAGGCACATGTGTGCGACAAAAAAACAAAAATGTTGAGTAGTTAAATGTCAAAAAAGAATGACGTATCATTAACCCATGGACTTCTAGTGATCCGAGTGCATAGGACGTAAATGTATCCAGTTTGACGCTAAAATCATGGATGTTTACCCGTGATTATGTACCTCCATGCTGAAAACTACGCTACGGTCTCGAGAAATAAGACTTCTGGCAACAATTTTTTCATCATTTTACTCTAAACATCTGTCAAGTCCTGGCAGGAAGAGGAATGTCCGAAAATTGTTAAATCAATACAAAATTATAATACCTACATGATATGTATATTAAAGCACGTGTGGCATCCGTTCGGGAATGTTGCCGGGACGGTATTCTAAAGAAGAGTCTTCGTTTTGAAAAAGAGGAAATACTTATTATATACAATGACATATTTTTATTCAGAGTCGAACAAATTGTAAAACAGACACCATTTAGCAAAAAGGGGTTCGTGCCATACATGAGGAATGTCAATGAACAATTTATGATCTCCGAGAATTTTTTCAAATCTCGGCGATGGATTCTACGTATCAACTTATCCGTGGAATTAAGCTCGGATGGCGGAGCAGCAATGTTGAGCACACGGATCCCAAAAAAGCAACAGACGGAACACAAGTATAAGAAAACGGCACACAAATATCCTACTATGCTGAAACAGCCCCCGATGACCCAGCGATTGTAATATCAATGCCATCAGAAAACAGATAAACCCTGTCTAAAATGCGTGGAATGACAAAACAGATTTTCAAGAAGATACCAACTTTATCGCCCGGAAACCGTTACGCCTCAGTCACATTTGATCAACGGCAACCGTACGACGGCCGTAGATTTCCAAAATAAGAGAAATATGCAGCATAGAATATAGGGACGAACAATTTAATGTAGATTTTCTATATCGATTTTGTGAAGCTACGATCGGCGTTACCGCCGCCGTAGAGCAAATGTGACTGAGGCATAAACAATCTACACGGAACAGAGTACAATGTCACAGTATACAAAATCCCAGTGCTCTTAGTGATCTGAGAATCATCAGACTGTACTCTAGATAATCAGACAACATGATACCAATTGCACAATCGTTGAAATGTGTATCAAATATGTTGATCAGCTATAAAAGAAAACTATGTATCACTTGATACTTCTTTTCCAAACAGTGCAAAACAGAAAGTAAGTTTTGTTCCACAGAAATGTTTTTTCTTATTTTCCAATATGTATAAGGGTTATGCACTGGGAGCTTTTGAATATAGGGTATACCCTGAAGGATATATTTATATCTCCCCGAGGGGCCGAAGGGACCAAGGGGAGATATATATTTCCCGAAGGATATACCCTACTGTATATCCAAAACCGACCGTGCATAACTGGTGTATCTCATACTTGAGTGGGACAAGATATGCCTATACTGAAAATCGTATATACTCGAAAAATCGTATTGTCCCGGGAAAAATCGTAATACTAAAATTCGTCTTGTCCCGGGAAAAATTGTATTGGGATCGTATTCTCTCAAAAATCGATTTGGTGAAAAACTATATATCTTGGAAAAGTATTGTAGTCCTAGATCCACACGGGGCACTAGTAGCAGAATGGTCATAGTGCGTCATGTGGTTCAAATTCTATCATTTCTATATGTATAGCCTATTTACTTGTAACAGGGCCATAGAAAGTATGGAATAAAAAGGTCATTTCATGGTTGATTTTCAATTTGAATTAATCCACGGGAAATATACATTGACTTCGGTAAATATTATATTGACACTCGTTCGGTCAATATCATATTTCCATCGGTCAATATCATATTACCCTGGAATAAAATTCGATATTGAAAATCAAGCATGATATAACCTATATTTAATATTTGCAATCAATCAATCGTATATTATATTCATGAAATCAATTTAAAAGTGATATGGATAAATAAAGATACATACATAAACACAGATTCAGATTTCACATGTGCATTTTGACCACCAAGTTCCCAACAGGAAACTATAAGCACCTGTCATTGAAGAAAATCGGCAAACGATCCCAATGCTTTGGAGTTATATACTTGTAGAAACAAAGATATGCCCCTTAGAAGGATATTATATTACGTGCTCACACACGATCATGATACAGATTTCGCTGAACTTGTTAGATCATTTTAATATGGTGAATATGATTTGATAGCACATGATCAATAGTACATGATGATGAAGTTATATTGCATTTGGATTTCCATGAAGCAAATTGTTTGAATATCATGATTGATGGTGACGTTAGAGTCAGAGTGGTATAACATACACGCAATCTTTATGATAAATGATGCTGCTGAACTTGTGCTTTAATAAGCTGAGGAAAATGATCAGATGACGCTGTGATCAGTTGTATGGAAATTTGAATTTTAATCAAACAATTCATTTATATTTTATTGATAGCCTGGTGAGATCTGTTTTTCGGTTACTTAATTTATTTTGTATCTTCAGAGCCTCATTCTCATGGCAACCTCTAAATAATCCACGATAACTAAATCCTAAATCCTGACGAGGGGGATTTCGAATCTTGAATACACAAGAAATAAACTTGTCATAGGAAGGACAAGGTGCAATTATTGGCAAATATCCCTATGGTCAAAATGAATCATTCGTAGGTGTAACATGAAGAATAAAATGTCATATAATACTTTGGAAAATATTAAAGTGCTCGGACACACATAAGCTGAGATAGGGATCATTTCGTTCAGTAAGGTTATTGAACTACATGGGGCTGTGCACCATTGACTTAACATGAGGATATCAGCAGATCCCAATAGAGGCCATTGGTTTCCATTGATTATCACAGAAATACCAAAAATACACTATGACCTGAATCGATTGCAAACTTAATAATTTCACAATACGACACAAATGGTTTATCTCATCATATGTGCAAATATGAAGTTTGCAATCGATTCAGGTCATACTTAAAATTAAAAGATTGTACATTTTTTCATCATTTTTTCCCTACAAAATGGCTATAGAAAAATGCTCCAAAAACAACTTTTATCAAATATCATTAAAGTTTGTAAAACCAAAGATTATACTATAATTACCAGTATATTTCATTATGTAGTAACATATTTGGATAAGATGCAGGGATGCGTAGGATGTAAATGGATTTTGACAGACACAAAAATACTTCCTGGTTTGGAATCTATGCCTCTACACTTCATGATTGAATTATGACCCTAATAAGTGGCCTATACATCAATACAGTGCTGTATATAGGTCAACAAGATACTAGTGTGCATATAAATGTAATAATTGAAGCGGAATACTCATTTTGAAAAATCAGATGAATTATGGGGAGATCCCAATGGAGTGTGTGTAAGGTCCCTTCACAGCTTGGTATGACATTATTTGAACCAATTGGACATGAGTTTATATGAGATTTCGACTGGGAGACATTTTCATTGTTTTCGTTGTACTAGAGATTTTACATTTTGGCATGCCATCTCCTGATACCTTGGTGAACTAAGTCATGTGATCATTTATATCCAATCAGAATGCATTTCTGCCACATAGTGATAGCATAGTGATCCAAAGCTAAACCAAGGTGTAGGAAGGGTTTATATTATCATATAGAAGGGGTGCACTTTTCTAATTGGCCATGGTTGACATGCATGTTTGCAAACTAAGTACTTGCATCAAGAGCTCTGACTGGCATCCTAACAAAATAAATTCATACTACACTGATGCCTGGGTCACATTTGCTCCGTTTGTTCAATATTGTATTCAATTTTGAACAAAATACTCAATCGGCATGGCGCCGTAGTGAAAATCGGAGCAATCTGCATTACTTGTACACAGTGTATACCAATAGCCCATTTTCAGCATAGCAATTTCTAAGAAGGGTTTCCAAAATGCTCCATCATGGAATACATTGACCCTCTCTTCTTACATGATAGACACAGACATGTTTCTTGATGCGATGTGTACCAGAATGAAAGCTCTGGCTTCTTCCTAATTTGGCGGGAGGGTGCAAAGTACTTTCTTGATCATTAAAAATAAATGCCATTGTCACAGAAACTCTGCATTTTATGTAAATCCATTGAATATTTATCTGCATGCTCGAAGTTAAGTAAGTTAAGAAGATCAGATTCTTTATAACGCTTGATCCAAATCTATTTGATATTCAAAATCTAAGTAAACCTCACTTTTTGAAGAACCAACTATCTATCATATTACTCAGATTGGATTAATCAATATTCTCATACTCTCTCTAGTTTGTATGAATGAATGACCCTAAACATCATGTGAAAGACTTCTCAGAAAATGTGCTCAATATATTACTCTAAATCATACATGTCATAGGAGCTTTGAAATTTTGAAAAGTTGTCTGAAACAAAAATTGTGATCATAAAAAGAGAATGGATTGCTTTCTATAGCAGTTTTCTCATTTTTCTATTTTTAGGAATGAATTCAAATTTTCAAAAGCTTCTATAATTTCAAATAATATATTTGGCACACTTTCTCAAAAATGCAATAGATTTTGTCTGGTGACCTTTCTAAAAGTCCAACTTTTAACTGTTTTTGAGTCACATTTTCTGAGTCACACTCCTCTTTGTATACTTTCTCCAGTATGTATGAATCGAAACTTGGTTAATTTCCCATGTGCCTAAACCAATATTTTATTTTAATGTTTTATTTACTTTCTGTGTATGTGTGTATAGACTACTATTTATATTTTTCCAGTGTATATATGAAACAATAAATTTTAACTGTGTATTGACAAATATTATGTACTTTCTCCAGTGTGTATGAGCAAATATTATGTACTTTCACTAGTTATTTAACCAATACTCTGTACGTTCATCCACACTGGAGAAAGTACATAGTATTTGTTCATACAAAATGAGAAATTTTACAAGTAAATTTTCTATTAATTACAATACAAACCTATTCCATGACATATGCTAATACCCCTAATTTGGAAAAATGGGCAAGTCCAAAAACAACAGGATAACCTGAATCCCTCTAGGTCAACTGACCTAACACCCCTTTATATGCTATATCTTCATAATTGTACGCAGTAAAACTTAAAAATACTGCGGGGAGGCCGGGTGGGCCTATGGTCATGGAATAGGTTTGTATTGTAATTAATAGAAAATTTACTTGTAAAATTTCTCAATTACATACAATCCAACCTATTCCATGACATATGCTGAATTAAAAGTAAAGGAGGTGGGACCCCGATTAAGCCCAAAAGTATAGTAAATATATATACACAAGTACTTATAATAAAAAGTAAAATTCATATTACCAAAAAGTACTCTGATCTCACAAACCATAGTGATCCCTAGTAGAACAGCCACCATCATCCATTGTAAGGCAGAGGCTGTGACACATCTGTAACACTGTTATTGTCCTATCATAGTGAGCAGTCTTAGCCATCTAAGGGTAATGACCAACTCCTATGAATAGAGACTGGTTAACCAAGGATGGGCCGTTTAACCAAACGAGGCAACCTTGCAGTTCTTCAAGGGTCCAGGTCACAAGCTAGTTGAGTTGAACCCTTCTGCAAAACAGTTCAGCTACACATCTGGGAGACTGTATGTCCTTTCACAGTGAGTATCCTTACCCATCTAAGGGTTGCGAATAACTCCTATGAATAGAACTGGTTAGCCAAGGATGGGCCGTTTAACCAAACAAGGCAACCTTGTAGTTCTTCAA